CTTTGTGATACCAAGAAACATAGAAAATTTCCCTAGGCCATGCCAAACGTGCACTTTTTGGGGTTCAGATTCATTCTGTACCGCCTGAGTATGTCGAAGGTTTCTCTCAAATGGTCAATGCGATCTTCTTTCCTTTTGGACTTGACCAGTATGTCATCTATATAAACTTCTAACATTTACCAAGTTGGTCTTTGAACATCCTTGTCACCGACCTTTGATAAGTCGCCTCGCATTTTTTAACCCGAAGGGCATGACCCTGTAGCAGTACGTCCCTTGATGGGTGATGGATATGGTTTTTTCTTGGTCCTCTTCTTCCATAAGGATTTGATTATAACCTGAATAGGCATCTAAAAAACTCAGTAGTTCGTTCCCGGCTGTTGAATCGATGAGTTGGTCGATATGGGGCAACTAGAACGAATCCTTGGCCCATGCTTTGTTCAAATATGTGAAGTCCACGCACATTCGCCATTTACCATTCTTCTTCTTTACCATGACCATGTTGTTGACCTATTGGGGGTACTTCGACTCTCTAACGGAGCCATTCTCCAGTAGTTTTTCTACCTCTTCATGTACCGCATCATTAATTGCGATGTTGAACTAACGTCTAACCTGTCTTACAGGTGGGTGGAATGGGTCGACGTTCAGTTTGTATGTGGTAATTTCCTTTAGGATACCCGGCATGTCTACATGTCTTAAAGAAACAAATTTGTGTTAGTCGCTAAGAATTGACGGAATTTACCTGGCTCATGGATTTTGCAATCGATGTAAGCTTTCTTGCCATGGTCGTTGAGGTCCAGTTGAACGGGGTCGAGGTCTTCTATGGTTGAACATGCAGCTTCGACCATATCGAGGTCTCTGATGACGTCCTCATTGTCAGCACATGCAGACCTCGACCCTATTGATTGTTATGCCTCTTTTTCTTTTTTCCTTCTTTTGTTGAGTGACCGTACTGTCCAGGGTGATGCGGTAGCATTCCCGGGATGTGCGTTGTTCTCCTCGTATACTGAATATTCCCCACGGAGTGGGGAACTTGATGACCTGGTATAAGCTGGAAGGGACAACTCTCATGGTGTGTATCCATGATCGCCCTACTATGGCATTGCACGCCGTGTCTTGGTCCATGATGTGGAATGTGGTTTCCAGAGTGACGCCACTAGCCAGAACAGGGAGCGTAAATTCACCAGATGTTCGCTCGACTGTATTGTTAAAATTAGTTAGCGTGATGTAACGTAACACTATCTTGTCTTCTAGTTTCATTTGTGCAAGTACTTGTCAATAATGCATGCACAACTTCCATCATCTACCATAATGCGTCTCACATCAGTGTCTAAAATTCGTAAAGTGATGATGAGGGCATCATAGTTAGGAAAAGCCAAACCGTCGGTATCTGACTTATCGAAGAAGATACTCTTTTCGAGTTCATCGTACCGTTTGCAGGTGATTGATCATTTAAGCTTGTGGGTAGTGGTGAACTTCACACTATTAATGGAAGAATGGTCGCCGCCGCCGATGATCATGTAGATGGTACGGGCCGGTGAGGGCGGCTTCGGCGGTCCTTGGTATTGCTCGCGTCCTCTAGAAAAGTTGGTCCTTCCCGGTCACTCAAGAACTCTTCGAGATGTCCTTGTCATGGCATGTTTACGACCTCCTGCCTTAGGGCAATGCAATCTTCGGTCTTGTGCCCTCGTTCTTGGTGGAACTTACGGAGGGCGTCTGACTTTCTTGTGTTCTGATCTAACCTTATCTTCCGTGGCCATTTTAACTTTGGTCTGAGATTCTCCATGCATAATTGCATAAACTATTTCTATGGGTGACACACAAAAGTTGTGAGCGGGTAATAAAGGGGGCATACCTCTTTCATTTTGGTGAGTCCGTGTCCTTGGTCTAGGCGGGCCTTCCTCATGGCGGGAGGAGGGCGCCACGACTGTTCTGACATACGGTTGATGTCGTTCTCTGTTGGATTGTGGAGTTGCGAGATCTCTTTTGGTGTCATTCATTCGATATTTTCTGGATTCGGCATGTACCGAGGTGAGTCGGTGGGTAGGTCCATTGAGGTCGCCCTCATCTGCTCGGACCTCAGCACAATATGTGTTGTGTATTTTGTCCCAAGTGGTTGGAGGGTACTTCACCAGCTGACTTAATAACTTTCTTGTTGCCCTCGAACCATCCATGCTCAACATGCTCTGAAAGGCTACGACCGCCATTCCTTCCGATACATTCGGCAAGGTCATCCTTACTCGGTTGAACCTGGTGAGGAAGTCCCTCAATCCTTCACTCGGAGACTGTTTGATAGAAAATATGTCGTTCACTCTCGCCTCGGCCTTCTTAGCCCCAGTATGGGCCGTTACGAACTTGTCGACCATCTCTTTGAAAGTTTTGATGGAATGCATGTAGTGGTGAATACCATGTTAATGCTCCTCCTGTGAGGGTTTCACCGATTTTTTTCAACAAAATAGAAAATACTTGTTCTTTGGCTAGGTTATTGCCTTTTACGATGGTAACGTAGTGAGTCACATGATCTTCAGGGTCGGTCGTGCCATTATATATCCTGAGGTAAGGTGACATTTTGAAGGTATTTGGTATAGCATGTGGGGCTGCGTCATCACTGTACAGTTGTTCGACGAACCGGCCGGAGTCTCTCTTTGGCAGCAGCTTGGGGGCACCCGGTATTTTATCGACCATTTCCCTGTTCTCTTTCATTTGATCGCAGAGTACCTTGTTTTCATTTTCCATTTAATCCATCCTTTTCAAAATGGTTGCAAAAGCGTTGTCACTTGCATTATCAATGACATAGTGAGCAATACCTGTCGTTGGAGGTGGATAGAGTTGGTTGCACTATTTGTCCGCCAGCTGTATAGTGCAAATCCTTATGTTTTCTGCAGCCGTGTCCCGGACGGACTTGTTGAGGATGCTGGTTAACGTGTCGGTTAACCATACTTCGAGGAGCTTTTTTACAACTAGGAGCGTCTCCTCCCCCACAAATATGGATGCTCCATTACCAAAAGATTTTGTGATGTTGCAATGAGGAGGCGACGATCCATCTCGCCTAGGGGAGGCACTGGCTGTTGCGCCTTCGTCTGCTGTTTCGTATTTTCGTTGATGACGTTCGTGAGGTTAGTTGGGAGGTCATTGATTATTCTCGCCCTTTCTTCTCGGTTACCTACCATGTTAGGATTTTGTACGTACAAGGAAATGAGGTATTTTTTACGTTATTGGCTCGTGTTGACTGTAGATCTAGAAGAAACTAAAAGCGTAACTAATAAATTCCTACAGACGACGCCAAATTGTTTGACCAAAAAGTATTACCTTCGGCTAAAACAATTGAGTTTATATAATAACAGGTTAAAAATTAGTTAATATTAATATCTCCAAATATTATTTCCGGAAAAGTTTCCAATGTTGGACAAATCTGGTGGAGGATTGATAATAATATACATTAACTATTCCAAAAAGTATGAGCAATAAATAACAATAAATGATATTTAAGTAAATATGAGGGGTGATTCACCCTATAAAGTATGAACTAGTTGATTATCCCTCCTAACAATGATGAGTGACAGGAAAATCCTAGAATATTCAAATTATTCTTGGATATGATGGAAAGATGTGAAATAATATGAATAAGAATCTAGGTGAAAAAGGTAGTGTTTGTATCTTTGTAAGAGAGAGAGAAAATCTTTTATCAAAAGTCTGTTATTGTCAAATGAATGTCACATGCCCTACATCGTTGTCTCCTTTTCTATTTATACGTGACATTTCCCTAAGAAACCCTAATAGTACAAGTGTAGAGAATATCCATTAGAATATTCTCTTTAATATCCTATTTCAAAAACTAGCCGTTACAGCACGACCACGAATCTCGTTGCTTCCTGGTCGACCATTGTTGACATCTCGACCACGAATTCCGTTGCTTCCTGGTCGATCTCGACTGACTCTTTCCTCAGTGTTATCTTACCCTAAATATTCTATGGCAGATTTTGATCTATACATATAACATAGGGAATTTTTTTATCCTTACCGCTCAAATTTGGATTCTTGACCAATCTAAAGTTTAGATATTATTATCAATTTTTATCATGTTGTGTGCCATGTGTAGTTAGTCTCAAAATAAAAGTTCATATGCTCCTCAAAATATTTCCTAGTTTTGAGAAAGACTAAAATCATTGTTTATGTGGTTGATGCTAATGTTTTTGTCTGAATATTTTAGCACAGAGCAGTCAATTACTTAACCTAAATAGATCATGTGTATAAGTTATGCAAGTCTTTTCATTTTTGGAATGTTAAAAATATTTTCACACATATCCATTAATAATGATATTACAACCGCCTTGCTCATATGAGTTTGATTTAGTGGTAAAGAACGCAACACGTAATATGTGGATTAAACATATTTGTTGAGTTTCAAACCGTGCAACACTGTCCCTCAGAGATTTCTTTGTCATGACAAATGAAACTCCATACAATTTTCACAATGAATCAAAAAATATACTTTATTCAATTAAATTGAATTTTAAGCAATGAATTTCCTATCAAAACTAATACTATACTATTATATAAGTTAAATTAACATTTTAACTTCTATGATATCAAACAGGCCGTTTAAAAATAGAACTAGAACTACAAATATAGAAAAGACTAAAGTCCCAAGGTATAAAAATAAGACCGCGAGGGGTAAAAAATGCAACTCGTGATGTGTGGAATTAAGCATATCCGTCGAGTTTTAACTTATGCGTCGTTGTCCATAAAAAATTCCTTTGCCACAACGAAAGAAAGTCCATACAATTTTCATAACTTATCAAAAATTATAATTTATTCAATTGTATCAAAATTAAGCAATGATTTTCCGATCAAAACTAATACTATGCTATTATATAAGTTAAATTAACATTTTAACTCTATAATATCAAACAAACCATTTAAAAATGGAAGTAGAACTACAGTCTACAAATATAGAAAAGACTAAAGTCTCAAGGTATAAAAATAAGACCGTTGAACCGGAGACTGTAATTTCCCAAAAGAAAAAAAGCTGGTGCCTTTACTTCTTCCATACAAAAACCCTAAAACTAGGGTTTTTCCCGCCTTCTTCTTCCTCCCATTTCGCTGCACCAGCGAGAGGAGCACTAAAACTAGGGTTTATCTTTTGTAGTTCCGGCGAACAAAGCTGAAAAGTTGAGATTAACGGAGAAACAATGGTGTCTGCAAAGAATTTGCTATCATTAATCGAATCTACCTTATTGGGACCCACCTCTCCTACGCCATCGCAGCGGATTGAGCTGCTTCACGCCATTCGGCACTCGCTTCCCACTCTCCAAAACCTCCTTTCCTATCCGGTAAACTTCTATACTTTATTTGGTCGATTTTAGTTTTATATACATTTTTTTTAACATTATCAGTTAATTTTAAGTTGTGATAGCAAGTTAGTTACCGTATTTATCATGTTATCAATTGATGTTTATCATATGAATTTAGTCAGTATTTACCTTAAAAATGACATGATTGTTTAAATATTCACTATCATTGAACTTTAACATGTAATAGCAAGTTAATTATCATACTTAGTAGGTTGCCAATTGATACTTATCATATAAGTTTACTTGTAATTCCCTTAAAAATGAACTGATTGTGCAAATATTTTCTACACTACCAGTTAATTTTAACCTGTGATAGCTAGTTAGTTACCTTATTTACTGTTAATTGATGCTTATCATATTAATTTACTCGTGATTACCTAAAAAATGACATGACCGTGTCAATATTATCTAGACTGTTGGTGCATAGAACTTAAACTCTTGTTTGGTATGTTAATGTAGCTATTGAACTTAATCTTCACACTGTAAATGTACAGATTCTTTTTACACTGTCAATGGCTTTTATTTGTGATAACAAGTTAGTTTCCAGTTTTACCAGATTACCCAATTAGTGCTTATGAACAGATTTACCTGTAATTACCTGATAAGTGACCTGTTTGTTTGAATATTTTTTATCACTTGACAGTAATATGGAAGAATTATTGTGAAAGAATGACTGTGTTAAGTATTAAGCATGTGGATTTTGGTGTGCCTAGATTTATTGAAATCACGATTGTTATGGATGGATATGACATGGTTTGCGAAAATTGGTAGTTTCTCAACATGTGAAGAAGTTCATTTCCATTTTCCTAAGTACTTGGTAATCTGTATAATTGCCAGGGATATTGTAATTCAGTTTTCTGAGTTTGTTTGTGTTTAATTATTGAAGTTTTATAGCTTTGTCTAGAGTTCAGTGACCAAGTTCACATTTCTTCTTCTTAATATGTAGCCCCCCAAAACCTCGGACCGAGTTCAAGTCCAGTCCAAAGAAGTGAGGCTTCCGGATTCTGGGCCAATCTCACTGGATGATCAGGATGTTCAAATTGTGAGTTGCATCCCGTGTTGTATTCTCCTTGTGTCCTGTGTAGTTTAATTCATGATCTTTCTTAAAGGATTCTTCTATCATTACTTTCAAATCATCATTATCATTTGGAACATAGAACAGGACAGCCAAAACTTTTTATGCTAAGTTTACTGTTAATGCCTGCTATAAATATTTTCTGAAGAACATAGTGATGTTCTCAAGGTAACTGGCCATGGAGGATAATCTTTAAGGCCATTCCACCCCCAAGAACTGCTTCTTTCACTTGGATTGCCATTCACGAAGCTTGTTTAACTCGAGACAATTTGCAGAAGAGAGGCCCACCAATGTGCCTAGACACGTTTTTGAGTTCAATGGGCTATGCCAGGGAGTTTACACTTGTTTGTGCAGATGGTATAGACAGTCCTTCTCCAAAGGCAGATAGTTCTAGGATGCTGTTCCTGCTTGCATAATCTGGAATATCTGGCTGGAGAGAAATAAGAGGTGCTTTAATGGCAGGAGGGATAGCATTTCACTTGTCATATTGATGTTTAAGAAGTCTCTGTTTATGGGATAGGAGAGTATTGTATCTGATTTTGACTCTTTGGTAGACCTTCTGCATTCCTTCAATCTATAGAAGGATGCCCTCTTTTCTGATGTAAGTTCTCAGTACCTTGTTGGTACTTTTTAAAATGAAATCTTACCTTTTCATAGAAAAAGAAGAAGTCTTCACTGGCCTTGCCGGACCGTGTCCTGACCTATTGCAATCCCTAATGTCAAGTCTAGTCTATTTAGGTATGAGATGAATTCAAGCAAGATCTACTGATGCACTTATTGGAGATAGGGATAGGAGAAATATGAGAGTAAGAGGTTGGAGGAAGAGGAAGAGGAAGACAGAGATTACTTAGAGTGAACTAAATAAATTATTGTGGTCACTTCTTGCTTTATGGTTAGAGAAAAATGTAAGAAGTGTATTTGTCTTACCAATCACTATTTCTATTTTTGTCTGGATTAAACTGTGTGTATATTTATCGATAGTGGTGGAGTTTTAAACATATTATAACTGCTTTGTTGCTGAAGAGGGTTCATTCTATATCTCTGTGTGCATATTTTGAAAATTTTCTCTTTTGACATTTGTTCTGGTTTAGCAAACCATTTGCATAGTCTCATCCTATGTTACTTTTAGGCCCTGAAGTTGAGTGATGATCTACATCTTAATGAAATAGACTCTGTTCGGTTGCTTGTTTCTGCCAACCAAGAGGTATGTCATTCTCTTTACTTGTTTGTCTTGGTGTATTTTGAAATTTTTTTGGTAATTATTTTGCTCATTGCGACAAGTAATGTACAATTGATAGGGTTCAAGTTTGCTAAGTGATGGAATTCATTGTAAGAAGTTTGATGATAAAAGAACTTAACAGAAGTCTATAAGCTAAACCTGCAGCATCGAATTTAGTATTTAAGTTGTATGCTTCATCCGTCCAATATATCATGGGCAAATTTTTTTCTTTTCAATGTGATGCTATTGTACTTTTCTGTGACCGTTCCGGCAACACTGCGCCCATGTGACCGTTTCTCGGCGGCGGTGCACCTCTTTGTGGTAGCCGTTTTAGCAGCAATGACCACTATTCCAGCGACCTATTCATCAACTTTTTCTGGCATTCCTTTAAATACTTATGAAGCTACTTTAGCACGAATTCAAACTTAATGATTTCATGAAGTTTTGCATCCGCATACTGTTGAATTTTTGGTAATTGAGAGATTCGTTTCTGTTTTTACTTTAAGAAGCACTTTCTTTTCTTCCTTATAAAAAAAGAAGCACTTTCTTTTCTTGCGCGATTATCAGCGACTATCCAACGGGAAAACTGCAACTTTGATTTTCTTCTCGTTGATTATTCCTCAGCAATTGTACAATTTAGGCATCTTTGATAAGGTATATATTGATGTTATAAGATTAGAGCCGTGTATACAAGTGATATCCAAAATGTAGAGAGCCTATTGACAGTCTAGTTTGAGGGGCCATAATGACAGTCTAGAAGAGCATTGACAATATTGTGTAAATATTTTTAAAGGTTATGTTATAATAACCAGATTTCAAAACTTTGAATTTTTTTAAAGTTAAAAAGAATAGCTTTCTTGTATGCTCGTGGACAATTTCAATGAGAGTTTCCCCTTTTTTCTTTTCGCATAACCTGTTGTGTATTCTTTGTTATTTGATTGGTAAACCATAATCCCTCGTCCTTGCAACAAATCCATCCTCTAGCAAGGTTTTTGATCTGAAGAGTGTTCTTTTTTACTTTATCTCTCCACCATTCAATTTGAAAGGTACTCTCCATTGCTTCATATCCCATCGCTAATGTGTTTAATGAACCCAAAATGAATCAAGGCTGAACGTGATTGGTGCTTGTGTCCTCATTGTGTTAAGTCTTCTTTACGTTGTTAGAATCCGTTGGGCTGAAGCAGTGGAGCTGTTCGTTTGAGGTCTTAACTTGATTGTCCTTCCCGGTTTGACGATCAGCATTGGGCCTCTTTAACTTTGGCCGATCCTTTTCTCACTTCTTAGCCTCTTACTTGTTGCCTAAGTCGGTACCTCCGCACCAACTCAATTGTCTAAATCTGAAATTTGAGGTCCGTTTATGCTTCAATAACTCTTTTGTATTGTAATTTTGATGTTGGACTCTGTTTATGCCTCCTTAGTGGAAATTTTCAGTGTTCTCCTCGTTTATTCCTCTCCGGTATTGGAAAATTGGCCTTGCTATCCTTTCTGAACAATTGTTTTTGCCGCCTCTAGTGTCTATCTTTATTGGAATAATGTAGTATCACTGACCCTCGTGCATTGTGATCATCGACTCGATAGTTTCTTTCTAGTTACCACCAGCAGTTGCACCTGGGATTGATTTTTATACCTCCTTGTATCTTTGTTTTGAGGAAGCCTCAAGTTCTCTCACCTTTTAAACAGTTGGTTTGACCAAAGGTGTAGCTGAAGTCTTATTAGTCTCTTTTTCACAGCTCTAGGTTGTTGATTGACTTGATGCAACTGGCAATTCGAGACCACCAGTCTATAACAGAGAATTTCCATCATTCTCCCTTTTCCTTTGATCTGGATGGGAACGAAAAATTGAGATATATCTCATTCATGTCTCTCAGCTTGATGCTGGCCGAGAGTCCCCACTTAGCTTTAACTCATCTTTCTATTTCGTCCTTGCTGGCTACCTCCAATGAGATTTCACCATAACGACTAAACAAGAGATTTTTTAGGAGATCACTGTTGACTTCCTTGAGATTTCGTCAAGTGCCAGCAAACACTTGTGATCTGTTGAAGTGTTGGAATTACAATGGGCGTATAGTGAGACAGAAGAAATGGTGGCGATTGGTTCCTGCTTGCATATGGTGGACAGTCTGAAAGGAGAGAAATTTAAGAACTTTTGAAGATAGAAGCAATTCTTTGCAGAACATCTAGATGAAGTATTTACTTTTGTTTTATTTCTGGTGTAAAAAAAGCTGTGTAGAGGAGGCAGAATCTTTAGTAGACCTGATAGGTGCACTGTAATCTTAGGTTGACATATCTGGTTTTTGTTTTCCTTGTAAATATGGCTTGGCACTGCCCTAGTGCTGTTTTAGTTATTAATATACATGTTACCATTATAAAAAAAAAAGTCAAATTCTTCCTCTCCCTTGCATGTATGAACTTTGATCTTCTAGCTATTGGAACATCATCGAGGTTGGACATTATTTTTAGAAACAATGCATTACAAGCAACTCCCTCTTTCTACACATTTCTCAATCGTACTCTCAAATTAGTCCACCCAGTGTTGCATCTTAGATTTGGAATGATCTAGACGCTCTTTCCTACCATTACGGAGCTTCCACCCTTAAGAATCTGCCAAAAGAGTTGAAGTTCCGTGTCACATGATATTCATAAAGATCAGGTGTTCTGTTCTGGTTCCGCTAGATTTACCCTTCTTCAATGCTTGCTTTGATGTATCACAACCCCATCAATAGTTTGAACTGTTTAGAGATTCTGTTCACTGAGCCATGTATGTCTATGTATGACGTTTTAAACCATAATGTGGACCGCTCAATAATCTGAACATGTCAATGAATGAGGTTTCTCTCTCTCTAGACATCTCTCTGACTTAAATACATCTGGTTTTAGGAGTTGAATTGGGTTTTCAACGACCACCTCCTAAGTTCCTTTCGGCACAAATTTTTTCTTATGTTACTTTTTTTTGACCAATTTTCGCCATCACTTTCCAATTGTTGATGCATGCAGTGGGGATTATTGGGACGTGAGCCATTAGAGATATTCCGCCTTGCAGCTGGACTGTGGTATACAGAGAGAAGAGATCTTATAACAGCACTTTACACACTGTTGAGGGTATACCTCATTCTCAGTTTCAAGGAATGAAGATTTATCTCTTTTTATCTGCTTGTTAGATATGACTAAAGTGATTTTGCAGGCTGTTGTCCTTGACCAAGGACTTGAACCTGATCTTGTGGCTGATGTTCAGAGATTTTTGGACGATCTCATTAATGCTGGAGTTAGAAAGCGGTTGATTTCTCTCATAAAGGTTGTTATATTAACTTAATTTGTCTTTCATGTCTATCCCTTTGAGTTACATCTTTTCATTTTTTGAGAATCTTCAGAGCTTAGATAGAGATTTTTCTTTCCCGATGAGTGTCTTATTTGTGTATGTTTTCCTTCAACTCAATCATTGTTTGAGTTTTCCACTATTGGTTTAAAGTGTGAAAAAGTCATGTTTTTGCTGGAAAGTATTTTCCAGTGTCCTGTTCCCTATTAAACTGACTCAATACTTTACTTTATCAATTAAAAAAAAAACTGAGAATGTTCCTTAAGTGCAAGTGATCATGTGAAACATGAGATGATAATTCGCTGTTCATTTTGACAGAAGTGAGGTGAATGAATATATGCTGATGGTTTCTTGATATTATATCTTGAGTATACTTGTAGGAACTCAATCGCGAGGAACCAGCCGGTTTAGGGGGGCCTAACTGTGAACGCTATATTCTAGATTCAAGAGGAGCATTGGTGGAAAGGAGGGCTGTTGTTTCCAGGGAAAGGCTCATTCTGGCTCATTGCCTTGTCCTTTCTGTTTTGGTTGTCCGTGCAAGTACGTTATGAATGGTTATGTTTTGATCTTCTCTTTCTTTGTTCACTCCAAAAATCATAGAAGATATTTTTTATTAGGACATGCATATAGTAGCTTGTTATTTTTATTTTTGATTGCACGGGTTAGTAAATGAGTGGCTACATTTTGATTTGCAGTTTATGTGCACTCCAGAAAGGATATAGTTAAGCAAGGGTATTTTTTTGATTAGGAGTTGCTCTTTTAGCTCCCTGTTTGTGCTTAAGACTGTTTTGCTATGCCTTTCTGTTTCTAGGCTTCTATCGTTTTCGTGCATCATCAAATGGCAAAATGGAGCTGCATTATAATGAGGGCTTATCCTTTCTTCATTCTATTTGGGCTTTTGCATGGTTTCGGGTAATGATGTTTGTGCCTTAGATGATTTCAGGGTAAATCCTATATTGGACCATTTGGAGGGTTAATCATTCATATATTTTTCTTTTAATTCTTCATGGCTGATTACAACTTGTTTGTGCATAACCAAAATGAGTTTTCATGTTCGAGAGGCCTGATGTTTTATACTATGAACACTTAGCTAACCTAGTTTAGTCACATCGTTATAGAAGACCCCATGGTCATAATATCAGCCATATGTTTCTGAAGTAATACGCTGTATGCTAATAAATGTTAGTTAAATATTTTTGAAGTTATTTATGTTGGAGTTCAACCATTCCTTATCTGCTATATGTGCTTCTTGTCTGGCCTTATTTTTCTGCATATGACTCCAAAATTGAAGTGAGAACATCCTCAATATGCTTTTGCATTGGAATAGAAGAGACTGGATTCATTCTATTTTTAAATTAATGTCGTGGTTTTCGCCTTACCAACTGCCCAAGCCTCGGTGGGCAGAATTACCTGGTACCAGTGCTGGTAGGAGGTAGAAGGTACTGGTCTGAACTCTGCCGTTATAAAAAAAGAAATGTAGTGGTTCTCCCCATTATGCTTTGTTGTATGACTTTGTCCCCCTGAATGGATGTACTTATACTGAAGCTTCCAATGTTGCTTTGAACAGCAGAAAATGAAGCAATGTTCCTTAGCCAGTGTTTCTGTTTTCAATGTAGTCAGGAAAAAGGGTATATGCGTGGACAGCTCCACACCTTGTTTATCTCCTTTAACAGCAATATAGTTATTCTGTAATTTTCTCTTTTACCACTGAAAAGTAACTATCTATTTCTTTTTGTAGGCCCTAAAGATGTGAAGGATGTCTTTTCTGCTCTAAAGGACAGTGCAGCAGGGCTTAGTGGTGGCACTGACACTTTAAGGCATCAGGTTTTCGCAGCTTCTGGCCATGGTTCTCTCAAGCTTAATGATGAATAATTGGTTATGAAATTGAAAAGAGTAATATTGTAGATGGTTGAGCTGGGAAATTAAGCATTAGATCTTATGCATTTAATTGATGGTCCTTTTTTAGCTGTATCTTTTCACATAAGAACCATGTAGCTTCTCCAAGTGCCACTTTATGCTGACTTGTCATTTATTATTAACTTTATTTGTTAACCCTCTTGATATATGTATGTACAATATATATATATACATATATTTTAAAGGAACCCTCTTGATAGATATCAAACTACGTGAAGATCATATTTCATTTTCGCCAGAATTGGATTTTAAAGTTCAGCCTGTTTCTATATGCCATCTCATCTTTTGTGCCGTTTAGAGGTTCCGAATCTTCTGATTCTGTGGTTTTTGGCTCTATGATTATCCAGCTTTAGATTTTCTTTTCATTCTCTGTTTCTTTTTCAAATGCTGTATAGAGGACAGAAAGGAAGTATTTCTATCTTGTCTGCATGCATGTAATCTCCAGCTATCCTTTTTCTTATTCTTCAGTATTTTGCTCTATACTTGTATCTGATCCTGCTTTGAAAAAACTGCAGATAACATATAGTCTTCTCTTCTCTCTTGTGGTGGCCCTCATATCTGATGCGTTGAGTGCAGTACCTGATAAAACACCTGTCTTGTCTCGTGATGCTTCCTTTAGGCATGAATTCCAGGAATCTGTAAGCAGACAAACACTTTAAATGTTTGACACCAACATTGTGTCATTTTCAAAACCCTCTATCACTTTTCTTCTAGGTAATGGTCGCCGGGAATGATCCTGTTGTTGAGGGCTATGTTGATTGCTTAAGGAGTTCGTGGGTTGTACATCTAATGTTAATACATGACGGGCTTGATGCAAAAGACACAGCAGCAAATGCTTCATCAAATAATGATATAAGGAACATCTATTCATGCTTGGAAGTTATATTCTCCAACAATGTCTTCCAGTCCTGGCTGAATAAGATCCTCCTAACTCCTGCCTATCAGGTGAAAATTGTCTTCTTGGATCTGATTAAGGAACTGCTGATTGTTTTTCTTAGCCATTCTCCTTACCACCCATTGTTTTGGCTCTGATCATGACATTTGATTTACTTGTCATATTATCTTGTTGACGAGTTCTTGCCCGCCATTGATGACTAAGTTTTTCTCATTGATCAACCATAGTATGTAGTTTGTAATTAGAGTCAGTCTGATTCTTTATTAAGAATTATCATTATTCTCATTGGCATGGGTAATGGCATTCCCCTGTTGTTTATTTTGTTCTAAGACAAATATGCAATTTTGCTATAATAAATGTAGGACAAATCTGAATCTGCTACTTTGGGATTAGGTTATGGTTGAGGAGTGAAGGAAAACGTTTAAGCTATAGCAACTTAGTAATGGTAAGAGTAGTTGATGGTTTGCAGCGCACAAGAAAATTTGATTATATTAAAGTGTACGTAATGTAGTTTATTTCTTGTGGCTTTGGGAGTCTCTCGGTAGCAACAGTTAGCGTTGTTGTCCTGAGTGTTTCTGACCAAGCAAAGATAGTGAATTTGCTGGCCAAGGATTTAGAGGTGCTGGGGAAATTGAACGATGAGGATGGGATAAAGTTCTGGTGATCACTCCTGGCTGTTTCTGGTCCAGGAGAATGATTTCGATGGGAAAGGAAGAGATCCAAACTGAATGCTTGGACAAATGGAATAATGTTTTGATCATTTCTCCTGTATGAGGTACTGCTTCGGAATTAGCTGTAGTGCTTGTGAGTGTAAGACACATTGGAATGGTATGTTCAAACGGTGCAGAATGGATATTGAAGATTCTATAGCCGATCCCAACTTAGTTTGCGATCTAGGCTCTGTTACCAGCCTCAAAAGAATGTTTGCGGTTTAGGCTTAATTGTTGTTGCTGTTGCATTATGAACTGGCATTCAGAGCAATAAGGGGAGAAAAAGCAAGATAAAAACATGATCAGCTGATTTTTCCTTAATTTCTAGTGCTGCCAATTCGTTCCCAAGTATTTATTTATTTATTTCTTTGTTTTTCAAGAATGATACACAGACACTTTTGGAGATGTATGAACCAGCACAACATTTTTATGATTTAAGGCAACATGAAAGTCTTCTTTCGCGCTCCCTTTGGGTTATAATTGTCTTGTTTTTAAGTAACCATATATTTTCAAAAGTAGGGAAAACGGCAAAAGGAAAAACATAGATGGAATGTGGAGGAAACATAGGGCTAATAATTGAAGAATCCCAGTATTAACGAAAGAGCTGTGAATAGTTTGAAATGGAGTAGGGCATTAGATTTACTTATGTCCTAAAATTTTATTTGGGCGCATAATGAGTAACTTCCTATTGGCTCAAAGCCTCAAGATATTTTAATAGGTTAAGAATGACTTTGTAATTGGTCATGTGAAGATATAGGGAGGAAGAGAGTGCTCATTGAATTGGTTGAATAACAATGTATAAGAAGTGCTCCGTATATGGGAGTCTTGAACTATGTATATTATTGTAACTAGTAATTCACTCTTCAAGTGGTTTAAGTAATTTATTCTACTGCTAGATACAAAATATTTTAGGTATTGTCGGGAAAATATTACTCCATTGTTCCTTTATATATGACCTCTTTCCTTTTTAATTTGTTAAAAAAAAGAATGATACATTCCTATATTTTGAAATATTTTAACTTTAAACTTCTCATTTTTCCTTAATGACATGCTTTTATAGCCATAGAAATGTCATGGTATGTTTAAGACCGCAAGTTCTTAGGGCTCTTTTTGATAATATGTTTCTCATTTGGGCATTAAATTTGCGGTCATTGCTATGGAAAGTTGTCACTTTTGGAGACTTACACCTTGAGTGCCCCAAGGAAAATGGCTTCCATGGCCTTGTGGGGTGTGGTATGTCTAACTGGTGTCTTTTAATTCTTAAATTTAATTTCCTTCTTTTTTCAGTTTTCCTTTTTTCGAGAAGTTCGAAACTATTAATCTTCTTTAAATGAGTATGGGGTTTGTGCTTAGAAATGTTATATAATTGTCCACTAGTTCTCCTGAAACTAAGGGCCCGTTTGGCCATAAAAAAAGATTCATTTTTTTGAATTCTTTTTCACTTTTTTTTTCGAAATCAGTATTTGGCCATGAACAGCCCAAAATTATATTCATGTCCAAACACGATTCTAATTTTCAAATGCCATTTTCACTTGGCTTTTTTTTCAACTTTTTTTCGAAATTCTATAATTCTTATGTCCAAACGCCCACTAAAGGCCAACCAGCATATACCCAATATAGGAATTTAATGCTTTTAGGAAACAACTTTGGGATTTAATAGGAATGTGTCAGACTTGGGAAATGGTATTTTGGAATGTGTGTCTACAATAGCAAAATGTGTTTTACATATGTCCGATGGTTTTTATGTGTAATAGCTCGGGTGAAGAAGTGGACCATCTTCTTTTACATTGTTGGGTAGCATCTCACTTGTGGTCGGAAACTTTGTGCTCAGATCCTTCAAAGATTTCACCGGGTGTGTGTCCGGTCATTCAAAGGCTTTGCATTTTTTGGAGGATGTGACACAAATGTGGCGGTTTTTTTGAGGATCCGGGCAACATAGCTACAAAACACTAGGATGGTTTGGAATTTAGTGGGTGATGCTAACTGTTAAAGAGTGATGTTTAGCTGGACTTTTAGAAGACGTAAGAGAAGACCCATGGTGTGGATGTTGCTTCACTAGCACTTATATGGGCCGTATGAGTGCAATAGAAGAGTTTAGAAGGAGTAGAGAATGATTTTGTACCCTTCAAGTATAGCCTCTTATTCCTTATTTCTTTTGAATGATTTTGTACCCTTCAAGTTGCCTCTTATTCCTTATTTCTTTTGGTGCACTCACGGGGTTCTTATAGTATAGAAGATTGGCTCTCGTTCATAGAAAACCACATATTTTTCTTAGGTTTTCTACTTTTTGGTATGCTACTTTTATACAAGCTTTTTCCCCCTTCATTAATAAAATTTATTAGTTTATCAAAAGAAAAATAAACTGGCAAAAAACCTCATCACTTTAATGCTTCGCGGTTTCCGCATAATGTACTGATTATTAGTTGCTAGCCTATTGCCACTTCTTAGGTAATTTATGTTGTTATTTCTTTTTTGTTCACTGTCTCAATGCCTTGTGATCATTCACCTAGCCGTAAGATATTTTATTCCTGTAGCTTGTCATGTATAGATGGCAGCATATAATTTTGAGTTGTATAACAAATAGATGTTACTGGTAGCAGATTATGCTAGTTGGTTGACCAAATTTTTATCTGTGTAGTCCTTCCATTTTGTAATTATCTCAAGTTTTATTTTCTATTTTCATCGGCAGAATGACGATGAGGATATGATCTACATGTACAATGCTTATTTGCACAAGATGATAACTTGCCTTTTGTCTCATCCACTGGCCAAGGACAAGGTTTGTTTAATTTCTTTTCTGCAGTGATTCTAATTTCTTTTGAGGATAGATGGTTGAAATTGCCTCTAAAAAAGAAGTTATGTTTGTTATTTCCTCCCAATTATGTACTTTTTTTCTTTTTAAGGCGTGATGTGCAGTTAAAGGAGTCTGAATCATACTTTGCTTGCTGTCCATTTACCAAGTGCGAAGTTAGAAATTGGTGTCTTCCTCATTTCCTTTCAATTTGTACTCTCTTTTATTACAGGTTAAAGAAGCAAAAGAGAAGGCTATGTCGGCACTTAGTCCGTACCGCTTGTCTACTTCACATGATTATACTGTGGATGGAATTGGACATTTTCAAAATGCCACTGAATCAGCGCCACAAACTTTTGTCTCTCTCTTGGAGTTTGTGAGTGAAATTTATCAGGTTAGTGCCATTTGCTGTTTCTTTTGTCCTGGGTGTTGACATGTGATTTTTGTCCCTCCCCAAAATTTTCACATTTTAGCACGTAAATATTTAATTTAGCCTTAATGTAGCTATTTCAGCTTATTTTGACTCTTTTACTTTATTTTCGTCACAAAAATGAAAATTACAAAAAAAAAGATATATAAATTTTAGTTTATTTATTTCTCATAAATTTCGAAAAATACAAAAATAGTACTTTATTTTTATTTTTATCTATACTATATTAAAAGCACGAAGACCCTTAGCGAAACGTCGTTCGCCTTTTTTACCCTTCTAAAATACCTTTCATAATGGATAAAATTGTAACTCAAGTGCTTTCCTAATATTTAGGA